ATAAATCGCAAATATCTTATAGAATGGCATGACTTTCAAAAAAGTATGGAGTCAAAATCTTTCAAAACGTTAATGTGTTTTTTTAAAGATTTACGAAACAAAGAATTACAAAGAATATTATGACATACGTAAACGCTTCTGCAATCGATGCTTTGACATTTTATATACTCAAGGCTTCTTCTGGACTAAGAATTATCCATTAAAAATCCACGTTATTCCAATCTTAAGAGTGGAATTTTTCTCTAAACATATATGGAGCCTTTACCAAAGCTTATGATATAATTTATTTATTCATTCAAAAATTATTGAAATCGATTCGCAATTGACTTAGTTAAAGCGTTAATATACATTAAAGGAAATAACATACAGTCGAATTAAAAACATCCTTCTTCTAGAAGTTAATCCAAATGGAATATCAGACCGTAGCGAGTTCTAAAAAATTCATGAACACAGTTAACAGTTATAAGAAAATTATAACGTCACAAGTGGTAAAATTTAAATTTTTGTTCAACCTCTTTCAATATTGCCCGTATGGTGGCGGGTAAGAATACCCACTACCGCATACCTTCCCGTGGGTGTCGTAAGAGGCGACAGAGAGAAACTGGGACAGAGGATGGGCAGCAACATCTTTCTAATAATAGAAATTACTAATAACAATATAGAAAAATCAACAAAAAACTGCGGTTATCAACCCGCTCACCAAGCGTGGCAACTATAGCAATATATGAGCCATGAGCAACGACAAAAATAAGCGGCCTCTAGTTCCTGCTATTCCTAGCTACGGTAGCGGCCATGGCAACGGTGGGGCAGGGTACTAAGAATTTCCAGTTGAGGTTCGGCTGTCACTTAAGGCGACTTGACCTGGCAATATATAATGCACGCAGCTTGAGGACTGACGAGAAGATCCTGGGGCTGGAAGAAGAGATAGACAAGTTGCGCTGGGATATTTGAGGATTATCTGAGGGTCGAAGAGAGGGGAGGACACGGTAATTCTCGAATTCGGCAACTTGTTTTATTACCAGGAGGGCGACTATATAACGCAAGAAGTTTTTGGATTTATTGTCCACAAGTCACTCATCAACAAAGTTGTAAAGATTGAGAATGATTCACACAAATTCAGGAGGTGGAGTAAATGTATGAAGATATCTCTAGAGCCACGTGTTCCTCCTAAGTCCACGGTGTTAATAAGAGACTTCAATGCAAAACTAGGCACAAGAGAGAACGGTGAGCTGAAATTTGGGAAATTCGGAATAGGGCAATGAAACCGAAGGGGCTATTAGCTGGCCGACTTTATGGTGAAAGAATTACGATGGACGATGATCTGGTCGAGCCTCGACGGTTCGACAAAAATGAGATTGACTTAATTATAATGAGCAGACGTCAACTGTTCATTAATGTCTCAATGATTGCAAGGTTGAAAACTGGCAGCGATCACCGAATGGTGAAAGGCAAACTGAACCTAAACGTGTAGTTGGAGAGGTCACGTATAATGAAGTCGACGATCCGTTTATATAACTTCAAAACAGCACATAGTAGAGACGGGATCGAACAGAATCAGGGCTCCAAAACCTTTGTCAGATATCTGTTTGCCAGAAAGAGCCAACTATCAAAGCTAAGACTGAATGTGGCAGCATCGTTTTTGGGACACCTGAAATTACAAATGAGATTGAGAGGTTTTAAGGGCAGTCATACACGTCATCGCTGGAGCCACACGCAAGTGTGTGTAACGAACAAAAAGAAACCGAAAACCGAATACCCAAATCGATACTTCAAGTCCTTCAGAAGCTCTTCAATTCCGTCCTCCATCTTGGCACTACTCCGGAGGCGTAAAGCAGAAATGCGGTGGTCTTTTTCCTCAATAAAGACGATAAACCTCTCTTGAATATTTACAGATCGATTTCCCTTCTATGTCACGTCTGCATGTTGTTTTCGAGAATCATAACGAAGCGTCTTGCACACAGACTCGAAGACTTCCAGCCTCCCAAGCAATCCGGTTTTCGAAAAAAATTTTAGCCCCATAGACCACACACATACCCTTAAAAATTTTACAGAAGTCCAAAGATTACAATCTGCCACTTTATCCTGTGTATGTGGAATATGAGAAAGCTTTTGATTCCGTCGAAATTTGGGCGGTGCTACAGTCCCTTCAGCGATGCCAAGTTGACTGTCGGTATATCTAAGTGCCGAAGTGTTTGTTACAGTTTGTACAGTTACAGTACAGGCAGCTACGATGGCTATCCCAGTATAGAACCAGAGTACGAAACCTATCCAACTACAGACAGGTGTAAAACAGGGTGACGTAATATCCCTGAAAATCTTCATCGCTGCATTGGAAGACGTTTTCAAGCTACTGGATCGGAAAGGTATTAACGCCAATAGAAATTACATCAGGCACCTTCGATTTGCCGACGATATAGTCCTTATGGCAGAATCGCAGAATCACTGGAGGACCTAAGCCACAATGACATCAAAAGTGTCTTCCAACGGATAGTTCTTAAGGTGAAAATGGAGAAAATAAGTCATGTGTAATGTCCATGTCACACTATACCGGTGGTTGTTGATGGCACTAAGATATAGCTTGATGACGAGAATATAGTCCAATTTTGACCAATAGGTCAATCGATGGATTTAACTCGGCTGGGCAGCGTTCGGGAGATCACGACACATGTTCTCGTTAGCTATACCTCAAAACCTCTAGATTGTACAATCAGTGCGTGCTGCCAGTGATGACCCATGGATCTGAAACGTGGTCCTTCACTGCAGGCCGTATGAGGAAGCTCAAAGTCACTCAGCGAGCTATGGAGAAGGCTATGCTCAGGATTGCTATGCGTGATAACCAGAGTGACTGACATATGGCAATTGATTTGTAAGCTAAAGTGGCAATGGGCCGGCTGGCTCGAGGAACTGATAACCGTTGGGGAAGAAAGTAAAAAAGTAAGGCATCTACAGAAAGTCGATGGATTCAGATGGCTCTGGACCGTGCTTTGTGGCGTTCCCTGGGAGAGGCCTATGTTCAGCAGTGGTCTTGTAGAGGGCTGTAGTGATGATGATGATGATGATGATGTCTTCAATATGAATAAAATGATAACATCATCAATGTAGTCGAAGTAAATTAAATACGCATTATTAAGGATAGCTCAAAAGCTAATGGTCAGATCTTGATTAAATTTCTCTTAATCCAAATCGGTTCACCTGAAAAAAATTCTGAGGTAACACAATCACAAAATAACTGAAGTATGCAAACCACTAGTATTATTGTCTGTCGCAATGTGATTCAGGGTAGCCTCTCCGCAAAATAACTTATATAAATTGTATAAAGGAATTATATATTATGTCTTGCCGAACAAATTTCGGCCATGGCGGCCAGTCTCTACGGAGACTAGCCATATGCGCAAGACGGGATTATAGTGCACGAGTGTGTGCGCTTAAATAGTTGAAAATTCGACACGACCAGAAAGAAATCAAGCGCATCACCAATGGCTGCTTTCCGAGCCGCTGCGGTGAAACACCGCCAACTTGTTAACTCTGGGCTTCTGCTGAGAATTGCTTCACAGAAAATCCCAATAACTAATTTTGGCCCGACTGGGGATTCTAATACAAAGAGCCAGTTATAGGCACATACAAATTTGCACGACGAGATATAAAGTTCTACCGCAACTTCTTTGTTTATTGCTTTACTTCTTAACTGTTTTTAATACTTAGGCGTAGTGTTGGATAAAAATCTGACATGGTGCCCTCATATTAATCAGTTAGCAAGGAAAACAAGAAGCTAGGTGTAAATATTCAAAAAAACTAAGACACGTGACAGACTATTCTTTACTGAAGACTGTTTACTTATCTTTGGCACTTGTCTATCTTGTCTTACTGTATTACCTCATGGGGTGGATCCCGTAAAACTCATCTCATAAAATTAGAAAGAGTGCAGCGTATATTACTCAAAGTTGACATTTAAACCATTTAGCTATTCTACAGACAAACTATATTCAGAGTGTGACGTATTGACAGTTAGATAATTGTATATAAAAGGCACTGTTATATTCCAACATGAAAAACATACATATAATCATGAATTAATAACCAATCGCCGGAAAGATAAGGTCTGTCTTACTTGCCATTTTAAAACATATTTTATAACTAAATTTCAATGCTACTTAGGTCCTATGCTTATAATATGCAATAAAATAAATAAAATTCTACAAATCTACTCGCTTAACAAATATCAATTTAAAAAAAACTACTATTATCTTGGTTAAAAACTCTAAACACAAAAGAAACTGAAAATTTCTTGGTCACTTTAAAATAATATTACATTAGAATAATATAACTATCTACTAAAAGTACTTTAATTATAATAATTAAACATTATTTCACTTTTATAGCTACTTATAAAACTATATTTAATTAACTTAAAATGTAAATAAAAAAACCTTTGCATAAACAATGAATTAAATAATAATATTTATATGACTGTTCACTATACATTATTGCATAACTCTTGTTATATACCTGTAGAATTACTAAAGTTATATATCATATATCTTTGCAATACAACATTGTAACCTATCACCAAAAAAGAGTTCTTTGATTTCTGATAACAATAATCATTTATTGCATTATTAATTAAGAAATTAAAAAAGTTCCTATAAATAGTAGTCTAACCTTTCATACGCATTATAAGTTAGTGTGGCGGTAAACGCAAAAAAGTGGTAATGTATTTGCGAATTTGTAACGTAATATATAGATTATGTGAATCATAATATGGAGTATACTTTTATATCTGTAAATAATGGTGCCTTTGGAAGTAACTATTGTCTAAATTGCAGGCTCGGCCTAGTTTAGACGCTAGTGTATAAAATTGCACAGATAAGTTGTAATTAATACCATTTGTTTAAATGTCTTAAAGATAAATAATGTAATCCTTACTTTGTGTCAATAAAAAATATTATAACTTCTTTACTTTATTTTATAATGCATAGCATTTATTTTTGTTTGGTTTTCAGTCAACTCACCAGTATTTGTATTTGGTGCCAGCATAGGCTGGATGTCGCCTATGACCCTCCTCCTTCAATCCAAGGACTCACCTAAAGGAGTTCCCCTGACAGATACAGAGGTATGCATAATAACTTTGTTTATGGTTGAAGTTCAATCTATCCATTTAACGTCATATAAAAGTATAAATATTTTCATAGGGAGGATTTTGCCATAGTTGCCGTGCTAGGCAGACGGATGGGCGTCTGCAATAATGACTTAGAACTTAGACGCTTAAGTACCAATGGATCGGAAATATAGGTCGAGAAAATAGCCACCGATGGGGAAGAAAGTATCTTGTGTCAGTAAGCGAAGTGTAGGACAGCCTCTAAATCCACGAAAATGCGATCTAGTAAGATATACAGGAAGTCGATGGAAGCAGCTGGCACAGGACCGTGCATTGCGGCATTCTTCGGGGCAGGCTGGTTCAGCAGTAGACTTGTAAAGGGCTGTAATTATTTAGATAATGATAAATTAATGTACGAATGAATATCCTAAATAACTACTCTTGCAACTTTTAAATAAAGTTACCGATTCCATTTATATTAAACACGATTTGAATGTCAATGAAATGCAAAAATAGCGACTCATTTGACTAAAATATCGGTTTCTCGCAGGTGTCATGGATGGCTGCTGTACCCTTTTTAGTATCTGTACCAGGATATTTTTTCATGGCTTACGCGGGAAATAAATTTGGAAGGAAATTGACTCTTCTTTTCATATCAGCTATGGGTGCCGTAAGTATTTATATTTCATACATATACAAATTATTGAAAAAATAATTTTCATAAAATGTTAAAACCAACTTCAAGGAACTAAAAAAATAATGCATTAATCTCCACATGATAGCTTATGAATTTGTGACAAGTGAGCACATAGCCCACCCAATGGTAAGCTGATGCTGGGGTTTATAGACTTCAACATCTATCCTCGATTAGTTATCAAAATTCAGATGCGTTGTCACCCCTGAGGACTAAAATGGAATGGCTTGTATCCAGTAAAAAGGGTATCCGATTCTCTAGACTCACCATACGAAACACAGCAGCATTCAGCTGCTATTTCACGTTGGTAGTCTTTGAGTGCACAGTCCTTCTTCGGTCAAACCGACCTTTTTTGGTACAACCATTAGATAGCTGCAGCATGGTTTTACTACTTAGATATTGTATATAGAAAAATTGAAGCTTTAAATAAACTTCAGTTCCATATTTTTCACTGTTCCCACCATTATGGGTGGATCTTTTTGTGTAAAATTATATACTACTACTGAAGAATAACCTATTTAATGAAATATACTCATTTCTATGGCAAAAAGGAACTTACAGTGAAATTAAGGAACTCAAAGCTGGCTAGAAATTATACACTGATTTATTTATCATTATTTCTGGTTGAAACTTATATGAGACCACATTATATCAATCGGCTAATCCCGGAGATAATATCGTGTTATTCTTTTTTATAGGATAAGGGTGACAAACGAGCACACAGTCAAACTGATGGTAAGTGGATACTGTGGCCCATAGACATCTATATTTAACCTCGATTAAGAATCATAATACTGATGCGTTGTCATCCTTTAGGACTAAGGTGGAATGCCTCTATTCCAGTAAAACGGATCTTCGTATTCGTAAATATTCTTCTTCATTCGATCGTAGAAGTCTACTGCTGAACATGGGGATTCCCCTCGACCATCACTTTTGGCAGGCGAATTAACGATTGCAATACCAGAGATATCTCGCACTTTTGACACCGTTATCTGTCGGTATTTAGAGTTTGACGCAAACGATATACTGTCTATTGAAAGCTATAAAATGAGATCTTTCTATTATTTCCTATATCCACCTCTTACGACACACTTGGTATGAAATGGAGTGGATAGATTATCTTACGTTGCCAAACGCCAGTATTACTAGTTACACTGGCTCTCTTTCTTGAATCTACGTGACGTGACTGACGTGTGGAGCCGATATTATTAACAAATTAATGCATTTCCATTCCATTCCTCCTTCTTACACTGGGACAGAACTTACACTGGGAAGACACTACCGTGCGATTCACGTGAAATTTTCTGCAATTCCCCTGATGTTGCAGTTGCATATAGGCGACAGTGATCACTTACTTTAAGGTGAACCATTGGCTCGTTTGCCTCCTCATCCATAAAAAATACTTTAATAAATTTTGTTTAACAGGCTAGTTGGATTTTGTTACTCCTGTCGCTGGAAACTTGGGCACTGGTGTTGGCTAGAGCTCTGATAGGAGTGACAATGGCTGGATGCTATGTCACTTGCCCTACATATACCAAAGAAATCAGTGAGGATAATATGCGAGGTGCTTTGGGCTGTTTAGTAAGTTAAAATTTATATAAAAAGCTCATATACGTTCTACTGTTAGGTACAGGCCTTCTCTTATATCTGAGAGGGTTTCAGGGCAAAACAGTATCCAAGTGCTACCCCAATGTGTGATGGCGGTTTCCATATGTCTATAAAACATTATTTTTTAATAGCAATGCTGGTTTTCTCACGATGTTTTATTTCACTATCGAGTACCTAGTAAAAACTAAAATCCTAGTAAAACACATAAAATTACAATTAACAATTTCATTGGACTTGTAAATTTTCCTAATTTTATATATTTTCTAGCTGGTATGGCAAAGGTGGTTTTCTCCATTCTCCTTCACTGTTTCCAATTCACGTTTATTCCTTGATTTTTTCCAGTGTACAGCAGCATTGATTAGCAGCGTTGCATTTAAATAAGTCTCAACTGAATAAAATATTTATGATTTTTTATGATTACGCGAGCACTACACATTTAAATAAACTACCTAGGTGGATTGAAAAGTACTCGGCCTAACACAGATCCATACAATACTAAAAATCAAATATACCCACATTATTTAGTTCAGTTCAGACTAATTCATTGTGTGAAGTTCGAAACGTGTGCGATAATTAGTTGTGATTTTATAAATTTATTAACAAAGTAATCGGACATAATTTCCGCGAATGGAGCAAATCGAGCAGCGTGCCGTCATTAAGTACCTCCATAAGAAGGGGCTATCATCAAAAGCCATCCATGATGACATGGTCAGTACATTAGGCGATTGTGCTCTGTCATATTCATCCGTCAAAAAATGGATAGCAGAATTTAAGCGTGGTAGAGAGAGTGTAAAAGATGAACCCCGCTCTGGAAGGCCTTCGACGTCAACTACTGACGAAAATATTAAAAAAGTACTTGATTTAATAATGGGAGACCGCAGATTAAAAATTAGAGAGATAGCCGAGATTATAGGCATCTCTTATGAACGAACTCAAAACATCATTGTCAACGAGTTGGGTTTCCACAAGGTGTCTGCGAGGTGGGTTCCGCGACTGCTTTCAGTTGAACAAAAAAGGACGCGATTGACTATTTCACGCGACTGTTTGGAGTTATTTGAAGCCGATGCAGATGATTTTTTGAATCGTTTTTTTTACTATGGACGAAATATGGGTTCATTACTGTACACCGGAAACAAAACAACAATCAAAACAGTGGAGAAGACCTAGTTCACCACCCCCTAAAAAGGCTAAGTCGATTTTGTCGGCAAATAAGGTGATGGCTTCAGTATTCTGGGACTCGAAAGGTGTGATTATGATTGATTATCTTGAAAGGGGTCAGACTATAAACTCTGATTACTACTGCACCTTACTACGTCGTTTACGAGAGGAAATAAAAGAAAAACGTCGAGGAATGCTCAGAAGAAAAGTCCTATTTCATCAAGATAACGCCCGTGTTCACACGTCAGTACAGTCAATGGGTGAAATTCACAACTGTGGCTTTGAACTGTTACCGCATCCGCCGTATTCACCTGATCTGGCACCATCAGACTTCTTTCTGTTCCCTAACCTAAAAAAGCACTTGGGAGGTCAAAGATTTTCGACAAACGACGAGGTCAAAGCAGCTGTAGACGCATATTTTGACTCTAAGGAAGAATCATTTTTTTTCAACGGTCTAAATGCTTGGAAGGGGAGGTGGCAAAAGTGTATTGAACTTGATGGTGATTATGTAGAAAAATAAAAATATAACTGATTTAGTATGTGTTTATTTTCTTGGTTAGGCCGAGTACTCATTTCAATCCACTCGTAGTTTTTACGGATGATAGCGCGTATATTAACATATTTTATTTTCCCCACGTTCCAGGCAGTTAGCAGCAACCATGGTCAACGGGAGGGACATGGATGTTTGACATACCAATGTCATACATTACAATCACGGCTACCTCCAGATTAAAATTATTTTTTTTTGTTACGATCTACGCAGTATGAACTTGTTTAGTGTGCTATAATAGTAGTATGTCAATTATAATAGTATTTGTTAGGAAAAATAACACGTAAGTGTTGCGGCGGCGGTCAAATAAACAGGTTTAAACTTGTCGGTGCTGACTACCTGAACCGAGTCATAGGTTTAGCATTATAGTAAAAGCATTAGCTTTCGTTTTTCAGTTTAAAAAATATTTTTATGATTGCCCCATGGACTACAGAAATAAAAACCATTTAATTATGCTTATAATTTATCGTTTTATTACCTACATATTTTTGTATAACTGTTCGGAACGATGTCAAACACCCAATGTCGTTCATCTCCTTTAGTAAAAATAGTATTATTAATTGTTTTCATGTCATTACTACAGTACGATTTCGGCAGACACGTATCCGAAATCTTATTCAGTTTAAAGAGTTAGAAATATCGATAACGTCGTCGTTATCACATGTCATGTGCACAGGCACAGAGTCGGAACTAACAAAATTAGGAACAGGGTTACGACTTACAAAATTAGAATTATTATTTGAGCTACGATTTATATAGTTAGAATTCGTATTAGGGTTACGATTAAAATTTTTGTTAAAATTTTGACCATGTTGCATATTATATTGTCGCTTTCTACATTTTTCACCATTGACCATAGTGTTCCTGTTCCCTATGTTTATGCAATAGTTGCAAATTAATTTATCAGAGTTAGAACTAGATAAATGAGAAATTTGTTTATTATCATTAAAATTAAAATGTTTTTTACTTTTGAAACATTGCGTAGCGACATGACCCATTTTATTACGTAATATATTACATTTGAAGATTTTGTATTTTTTCTTCCTCTATAGCTAATTGAACAGCTTCGTTTAAGGTTTGAGGGTTTCTACACCAAACAGTAGTAGAAATAGCAGGGTTTAACCCTAATAAAAATCTATTTAACGCTAGATCCTCCATGGCGGCTATTCTAGCTGGAAGTTCTTCAGGAATTTTGCAGCTATAGTGTATATCTGCTGGATTTTTGTTAAAATTTGTTCTAATTTTAACCAAAATTAAGTAACGTCCTCGGATGATTATTTGCAGTCCCCAGAGCTCATCGTCGCTCCATCCACTAGCCTGTAGAACTCATCCCTCCATAATAAAAATTGACCATAGTTTCATTGTCTGCAGATGTAGGTATTTAATATCGCTGGAAAAATGGTGGGAATCCTTTGTGTGTGCTATTGTTTGTTCCCTGAGCAGTGAGAGTATTTTCGCTGTGTGAAGTGTTGAGCCAATCTATATGTTAGTGAATCGATTTGGATGACTATGGGACGTAGTGGAGCATTGGGCTTGTGCATTTTTGGTAACCCACATAACTTCGGTTGTGGCACCTCAGTCCCTTCCGTGACCATGGGTGCTGTACTCAAAACATCGGGAATATAAAATAAGTTAATATATGCAATATAATCCGTAAAAACTAGTTTTAATTAAAAATACTTATGACTTTTAGTTTTTATGAGTTTTATGTTTCGGATTGTTTTGGGCAGTATGTTTATTGAAATATAATACAAACTTTGGGTTTTTTCGGCACTAGCACGATATAATACCAAATTAATTGTGCTAAGTTTTGTATGGTGAAAGTAGAGAATCGTAGACTCATTTTACTGGAAATAAGGCATTCTTTCTTAATCTGCAAGAGTGAAACGCATCTGTTTTTTTTTATTTTTAATCGAAGGCAAATGTTGTTGTCTATATATTACAACATCTACTTACCATCAAATGATCAAGTTTATTTCTATCCTGCGTGCCTTGCACCGTATTAATTAACAATAACAAAATAACAAGCTATGCTCTGAAGACCAGCTTAGTATTTAACATCGTTTTCAATGTGTCGTGTTCAATATACTTTTTAACAGTTGGTTATGTATTTTTTAAGAGGGTGACTTTAGAGGCATTGTTTTCTTGTCAATTGGCATTTCAAATCCATATTTATTATATCTACCCACCATATGATTACCGCATAAAAAGGTCAAAATTAAAATATGGTCAGTATTTTAATTTAAATATATTTGAATGGTTTTTTCAGATAATTCTATTTCACACATCAGGAAATCTATTTTTATACATCATTGGCGATATATTGAGCTATCGAACGATCTTGTGGATATGTCTTGCATTACCAGCATTCCATGTCGTAATTTTTATGGCAATGCCTGAATCACCTTCTTACTTGGTGAAAAAGGGAAATGAAGAGGTAATATGTTCATTATTATGATTTTTATGCCTTTAAATTCTATTCATTTGGTACAAACTAAATAAATTTTTATGTGTCGCATTCGTATTTTGCGTTATGTTTGACGCTGTGAGAGAACGAGCTTAATTTTTTTTTTTGGTTTAAGTTTCTTCGGTAAGCTTCGGCTGCTACGGGTATCAACCGAAAATTTCATTTGAGTAATGTAAATATTCAGAGCGACGTAAGTGTGGAATATCAACGTAAAGCGGAAACAAGCTATGAATGTAATGACAAAATGGCGAGTGGCGTCGTATACAATAATGTATGGCAAAAAAAAATTCATTCGCAAATTTGCATAATGTAAATTCGTGAAATGAAACGATGTGTCGTTGGACATTAATTTGTCAGTTTGATTTCGTTACGTAATTTTAGTACATTTTTTAGATTTAAACTAGATGTTATACACTTCGAAATTTTGGTAATTGATGTACCTTTACCCAAAATAAATTCAGGGTTTCCGTTTTTAAAGCTGGTCTCTTCAAATTAAACAAAATACTTTTTAAATAAATTACTAGTAAGACTAACTTAATCAACCTGAAATTTCAGGAAGCATTCAAAGTTCTTGCTTGGCTTCGTTGTAGAAGAATGAATGAACTCAAAATACAACAGGAGTTGGACAATATTAAGAAGGAGCAGAAAAATGACGAAGGGAGCAACAAATTCTTGGTAAAGGCGATCTGTTAGTACAATATTTATTTTCTTTTGCAATTTAATATTGACTTTATCTTTCTTATACAGTTATTGGCAAACTATTATTTGACTAATATTTATTAACTTGTTGCGATATCTCAAAAATGTGATTGGATGTTTCTAATTCTTTATACTAGGACCGTGCTTTGTGGCATTTCTTGGAGGAGGCCTATGTTTGGCAGTGTAGCAGTTTGAAATCTTCATACCAATTTCATAACGCAAAAATGCAGAAGTACAGTCAATGAACGCAGGTGGCGCAAGGCGGTATGGGAAAGATAGTATTCCCAAACCTGACCTAGTTTTAAGAGAATGGAGAAACAGTACTCTTATATGATGTCGGGCTCTTTGTCTCCATCCTCAAAGGTGACAATGCAACTGTAGCTTCCCATGCTTGAAGTTGGATACCTGTAGGACACATAAACTGTTGCTACTTACCATCATGAGCTCCGCTGTAATTGCATTATCACCCAGGTTCTTGCTATTTTCAAGATGCTTGGGAGTCATTCTAATATCGCTCAGACTAACGTTCGGAATATCATGGGAAAAGTGTCAGGTAAGACTTTCTCTCGAGTCGTTATTTACACATACACGTAGCTCGAACGATGTTTTGTACAGCTGTTTATAGTTCCTCTCAATTTCACTCGAAATCTCAGATATTCCGGAAACAATGCTGCCACATTCGAGAGTTACGAAGAGACAGGCCCCCAGTCCCAAGCGGCCACGCAATTTCTGACGACGGTGGTGGCCATGCTAATGGCGGGGCAAGGGATGCTAAGAATTACCGGTGGAGGTTAGGTTGCCATCTAAGACGACTAGACCTGGAAACATAACTCACGCAACCTGAGGATTCACCCGAAAAATTAATGTTTCACTATAAACGACTAAACTCAGCCCAAGAAATATTCCGCACGTGTCGGTTTTTTTTGTACTTGTTTAACCTTGAATTGCCGTAAAAAGCTATTTCGTGAATTCTTGGATCTTATGACAAACAGCAAGTCAACCTAAAAAAATGTAATCAGGGTTGGATTGTTTGGCCTTTCAGTCATCACTTATGATGAGGCATGGTTAAACATGTCTTAACACGCATTGTTATTAAGTAAAGATTGCTAGAAACAACTTTAAATTTCCACGTTATTAAAGTTGGTTAAATTTACAGCCTATATACGTCCTACTGCTAGGCACATGCCTCCTCTCACTTCTGAGAGGGTTTTTAGACCAAGCGCTGCCCCAATGCGTGTTGGCGGACTTCGGTTGTCTTTGAAATATTTTTTATTTTTTTATTTCTCAGACATGCAGGTTTCCTCGCGATGTTTTTCTTCAACGCAAATCACGTGGTAACACACTTAAAATTGTAATTAACAATTTCATTGGTGCCAGCGGGGATCGAACCCGGGTTGATTGCGTACTGTGAAATTTACAGCGAGTGATAACCCACTGAGCTACCATGGCTTCTACGTAATTATTACAACCACATTACCGGGTGCATTACTGCTTGGTACTTAAACGAGGAATTGATGACTTGCAACGCGTTGAATGAAATTATCAGTAGTTATTATACCTTTACCTTGCGTTTTTTGTCTCATTAACCCGGGATGGATATGTAAAAATAATTATTTATTACAAAAGGGTTGATGCAATGTTACGTTGCAAAGTATATTATCAACATAGTTTATTTAAGAAAAAAAAACTGTTTTTCCCGTAACTTATTACAAAAAATATTAATTAAAAATCGAATACCAGTTCTATGCATGTGAATAGAAGGGACGTGGCAGCTGTGATAATGCTTCTAAAAATCGGCAGCAACGCGCCTTTAATTACATTCTTCATAATAAATAGAGAGATGTTTGAGCTTATTTTGCGAAACATTTGGTTTTAGTCAACGTCGTGCGCAGCCTTTGAGTGAAAAAATAGATAGCAGTGACAGTTCTGTAATAGATAAAAGCGGCAGAAAAAGACAAAAATGCGAAAGGGGAAGGGAAGGGGAAGGGGAGGGAAGTGGGGAAGGGGGAGGGGAAGGGGATAGTAAGGGGAATGGAAGGGGAGGAGAGAGGTAGGGAGGGGAAGGTGAGGGGAAGGAGAGGGTGAGTGGAGGTGGAGCAGAGGGGAATGGTAGGAGAAGGGGAGGGGATGGGTCTAGTTGTACATTATACACTTCCTAAGGTCATTGTTAAATCGCATGAAATAGCAGCATAATGCTGCCATGTTTTGTATGGCGAGTGACAAGAATCGCTGAACCTTTTAACTGGTAACGAGACAAAACATCTTAGTTCTTAGGTGTGAAACGATTCTGCATTTTGATTATTAATGGAGGATAGATGTAGATATCTGTCCGATACTTAACATATGAGTCCCTCATATATTTACAGTACACGTACAGAAATATTATTTTTTCAAAAAAACACATTTAAAAAAATATGGAAAAAAAATTAATTTGCAAATTATATGTGGTTTTATTTCCTCTAATTCACACGAGTATCGGTAATGCGGGGTACTGCCATATGTTAGAGGAGTCACTGACAAGATTGGCTACATCTTGAAGCGCGCTTCCATCAAAACATACTTCAAGCCGCTGAAGAAGATTGGTCAGTTTTTACCATCAGTCAAGTGTAATGTCCCTCTGCAAGATGCAGGAGTGTACAAGCTTGATTGTGAATGTGGTCTCTCCTACATAGGACAAACTAAAAGATCAATAAAAACCCGCGTTAAAGAACATATAGCTGATGTGAAGAATCGACGCTCCGGGAAGTCTGCAGTCTGTGAACACGTACAGGATCGCCCCCGTCACTACATCAGATTTGATAGACCGCAAATCCTCGCTAAAGAACACCGATTTCTTCCAAGGATGATTCGCGAGGCTATTGAAATCAAAAAACATCCTGATTTCAATAGAGAAGATAGCTGAGTGCCACCATCGGCTTGGGATCCTAAAATTAATAAAATTACATCCCAACCCAAGCATACAACTGCAAGACTTCAAGATACCATAAGTTCATACTGCATAGATCGGAACAAAAGTTAAATTTCCAAGCCTAGCTCACATTCGATCGCGCAATACCAACCTTACGCCCGCCAAGTAGTGATCGAATTAGATCAGAATTATGTAAACATGTCTACCTATGAAAAAACTATTTTTTCGTTTTAAACAAAACCAAAGACACTATGCAATAGATATTAGTATCAAAGACAAAGATATGCTCTTTTATTTTAAACCATAACCTGGCAATGTTTCTTAGAAAAAAAAAAAAAGAAATCACTCTGAACTTTCGGCGTTCCACGTGTGGTGCCGTTTTGATGACGGTGCTCCGTCTTTTTTATAGAATTTTATATTTGTGTCTGGACTAAAAACGAAAGTATTATACTTTTTTATATTCCTTGTAATATAGTGAACACATATATATATAATTTGTGGTATAAAAAGTGAAAAGTAAATTGCCAAAAGTGCTTCAAAATCTGGAAGGCCCATTATGGCGGCTGGGTCATAAATGTGGTATTTTTCACATTCTCATTTATTTTTAGTGTAAAATGTAAGTAAAAATAGTTTTCTTACATATTTCAAATAACTTGACGTTGTATTTATTTCAAATTCACACAAAACTATTTTAGAAATATTGTTCTAAATGTCACACAGATAAAATATTAATATTTAATTTTTTTTAATTTCTTTATATTTTATATTTTGGTATGAGTAACGAATGGAAACACATAAAACATAAAAATATACATATTTCCAAACATTTTCATATAAATTTCTCTAAAAACAAAAGTGTAGAATTCAAATTAGTAGTAATTTTGTCACTAAAATTGAAGTATATACCACTATACAGCTATACAGCGTAATTTACGTATTTTATTACAATTTCTAGCAACGAAAAATAATTTTATTCGATAGTTTATACATTCATCAAGAATTCCTGTAAGTTTTATCCATAAATATTGTCTCAAAGTGAAAATATAGCAAAATTTGCAATATAGAAAAAATTTGCTAATTTGCAAATTTTCCCGCCATTACGGTCCCGAGCGAACGGGAGTATAACATGTCGCGCGCTGTCAGAGCTTACAAGATCTATGGTAACCGCGGTTAACTATGACATATGGACGTTGAACATCTCAGTCCCGCCCGTGACCATGAGTGCTGTAAAGCGTTCGAAACGTCGGGTATTTAAAAAGTTAAATATACGCGATAAATTCCGTAAAAACTAGTATTATTTCAATGTGTAGTGTTCGCGTAAATATAAGAAATCATTATGTAAACCAGTACGGACTGGTAATTGCAAATAAAATACGCCGATTAGAAGATCTAAAGACCAAGCGCGCAAGATATGTAACACCCTTAAATTTCTTGAAGAGATGCCGAGATCATAATCTCATTCCTACGTGTGTCAAAATATCAACCAAAAAGGGCATTCGAGGAAGCGCTAAGATCTTAAATCAGGCGAGTAAAAAGTTGTTACGGACGGTAATCCAACAAAAACGCTCCGATCTATATGACATAAACAAATCCATAGACACATCATCCAGTGAATTAAAGAAAGTTTTAACGACGTTTGACTATAATTTTTGCATGGAAACATTAAATAAACGCGAAATTAATAAATATAACGAATGCAAAAACAAACATATAGAAAAATATCAAAAAATAACGAACGAACGAACTCAAATATCAAACATCTCAATCAAAGCCAGAACCAAAACCAACCATACACAAACACACATCAAAGATTAATCGAGCACTATAATCTGTCAAAACAACCACTGGATGATGCAACAATTAGGGTTTTATCCAAAGGCTTCAACTTTGCTATTACACCCCGCAAATTACCGTACGAAGAAATTATGTGTAGTGTCGAGGACTGTTTATTTAAAAACAATATGCGGAAAGAAGATTTGGAGGCGATACGTCAAGACATTTCGTTTATGTTACGTCGATGTTCAGTGCCTAAACCGAATCTTCCCAAAGACGAATTTATGGCGTTAAA